GGCCTGATTACCTCAACTTCTAGTAGAGAGCGCCACCAAGCGACAGAATAATGTTGCTTTCAAGAACTAATTGTATCTTCATATTGACATAATCTTCCTTCTTCAGGATTGGTCCATTCTCTACCATCAGTCACACGATGGCGCGTGACCCTTGTTACGCAGGATGAATTAGTTCGTGTGGATATGCGCATGCGCACCAATTCCTTTGATGAAATAGGCGAAACGAAACTATAAGCATGTTTTACTACCTGTAGCACGTTATAAATATTGCCAACCTTCTCAAGCAATACAATGTATATCAGTGTATAAAACGTCTTCTCGTATCAAGTTCACCCAGAAAGATCGGAATATTGATATTTTGACTCATGTCGTCCCAAATTCCATACAACTCCACTATGTCTGAAAAGATCATATAGGTCCCTACCCCACGCAATGCACAGCACCCACCTGCTGGGGCACAGAAAACGTAAGAAAATTGACAGAAGTTTACCGCCCAAACTCAAAACATCAAATTAGGTCTGAAAACTGATTAAACATGCTATTTCGAGGGGCGAAGGAGCATTTTTTTAAATTGCGTTATTTCTGGTAATTTTGGCAAAAAAACCTACTTAGGGAAATCTTATCAGTTTCTATTGCACTGACAACAAAAGTTTATCCACATTGCGAAAAATGGCTTAAGTGGCTATATTAAACTTGTAGATACAATTAACGAAAATAAGAATATACACAAGACAGTAATGTAGTAATATGGCATCAGATGTATGCAAAGTACGATGTAATCGCGTATAAGAAAACAGCATTATTTTAGTTGGACTCAGAATACACCGTGACACGGTCAAATCTAAGTTAGTTGTTTGAGAGGTAACATAGCGTATATATGCAGGGTGATCACGGTGTCTGTGGATTGAAACTAAGCCAACCTGTGTTTATTACACTGTGTACACGTACGTGTAACTTTCTTGGTGGATTGAACAATCTTTTTCCTTCCACGCTTTGATTACTATATGTCCCAGTTTATCAATATTTTTTTACTTTTTTTCTTTCATATGAAACTTTGTTGTAATCAGACAATTATGCAATGAAAAAATAATTCCAGTTATAATAAAATAATTTGCTATATTCTGAAAATATATTATGAATATTCTCACGTGAAATGCTTAACTCACCTCTGTCTATGTAATATATGACAATATTTTTCCTCATAACCTATACTATATGCTATAAATCTTGACGTGACTAAAAAGTATATTTTGAGACGAAAAATTCACTTTCTTGAGGTAAATTGCTTTAGTCTCGGTCTGCGCGAACTTAATACGTGGTGAACCAGAAGGTCATTTAACCACCCTCTTCCGTTACGTTTGTTGGTATCGTAACCTTCGAATTTGAAGTGAACGCCACAATTTAACAATGGATTGTGCAGATATCAATGGGATTATCCTTTATCGTACAAAGACATTGGATGTCTGCCAAAAAACGTTAAAATGCTGTTTACGTAGTTTTATCCATTAATTACAACAAACTGGCCTGAGGGTAATTCCCAGTTGCCTTTATTCACCCGAGGATGCTGTCACAAGCCGGTCACAAGAAGGAGTCTGGTTTTACCTCCTTTAAGATACACCCATGAAGCTGTTATCGGAGGAAAGTGAACCAAGTTTCTTTTTTTTTAGCTCATTCTTTACTCTCATGTCTTGATTATATTGTCGATTACTTATATAGAAATTATTCAACAAAGTGCCCATCTAAAGTCAGTGGTAATTCCCAAAGAAGGCGATTAATAATTTAGGCGATTAAGTGTTGAGGAAGGGGGATTTATGTAACCATAATTGTGTTCCCATTATTTGACCCCTACATTGTCAAGGTCGAACAAGCCGAGTTGATTGAGAACCGGCGTCTCGGGAAGGCTTCACATCAGTGAAAATCATAAACCAACTGTCTTGTATTTTGTACACTCTCGTGTTAAATTCCAGTTTGCGAATAAAACATTATAATCAGATATCACTTAGCAAACAATGAGTATACAAATAAAGCATATCAGTATGAACAGTCGAACACGTGAATCTGTACGATCGAACATCCCCCCGATTTCAGTGGCGGATCTGGACCCCCCTCCCGTTGAACAATTTATCTAATTTGTTTTTTTTATAATATAACAAATCATTAACTTAGTTTATATTTCATTTTAAAGTTTGGACCCCCTATGAAAAAAATTTGTATCCGCCCATGGATTTACAATTACAATGTACAAGAGACATTATCAAAATGCGTCATATTACAATACAACTGCAAACATGGTCTTTTTTTTAAGCCACTGAAAAACAGTTGCAGGTCGATAATAATGCAACTGACTGGTCCTAAACGATGCCAATGGCTCCACCCGTAATACACGAACTCTTGACGTCATGCTGGCGTTGTTTACAATCAATCATGAAATATGCTTGGGTAAGCATTCCTGGCAGGTTATTGCCGATCACCTAGGGGGACATCAAAAACTATTGTGTTCACAACACAAGTAGTTTGGATGGTCAATAAAAATGGGAGGGGTGGGTCAACGACTCTGACCACGTACCACGAGACTGAGTCGTTTGTGGCTTCTTTACAGGGTGTTGCAGAGTAATGGATGGGCCTTGAACGTGATCCGTTAAAACACATACTCAACACCTGAGAAAATGACAGAACATTTCAATTAGGTTCATTTCTTAACGTCACATGTCACAACATTGTCCCACCCCAGAACAGTGTTAATATAACAGCGCCCTCACAGCTATATATATATATACATGAATAAAAAAATATTTCAACGTTATCAAACATATTTGAAAGATTAAACAGGAAGCAATTACATAATTATATTGTGTTTGAGAAAGGTGTTTTGAATATTAAAGTTTAAATTATTAAATAGTTAATTTATAGACAATATTTGTGCTATGTCGTGAGTACTTCTAAAAAATGGTATATTATTATATTCACATGTCAGTCAATTTGTCTGACGTAACTGCCGACTTAAAACAATAGAAAGTGGAATACTGATGACGTCATACAATCGGACGTTGAGTCGGCAGTACTAATCAATTGGCACGTCCACAGGGGTTCTTTGTAAGCTGTCAACCACACTGCTAACTATGGGGATTACAAAAGATCAGAAAATCAACTTAAATAGCCATCATAATAAAAGCAACAAAATTATAACCCACCCTCCGCTTGATATCAGTGGCGGATCCAGCAAAATGTATTGGGGGGGGGGGGTTCCAAGCTTCGCTTAAGATATACGGAGAGTAAATCGCAGAGAAGCTATGCGTAATCCAGATGATATGAATCGTCATGCGTTTGGGAGGGGCCATGGTCCCCCTGCCCCCCTCTGGATCCGCCTCTGCTTGATATTGTTGCGATGGCAGTCATAGATACTATTTTTTTAAAATCTAGCTGTATAGTATTATTATTGTATTTTTTCTTTATTGTAGTATTTTTCTTACCCATAGATAGTAATTGAGTAATAAAGTTATTATTATTATGTTTTAGGGAAAATATATTATAAAAAAAGAGAGTACCAGAATAAACATATCATCCTCGGTACTTGGCATGGGGCGTGGAAAACGGGAGTTAGTTGTCAGGCTTAATCTGCAAATTAAGTGCCAACGTTCAATATGGCGTATCCGGGAGACCATTGGGGATGTCGTGTCCCCGGCATGAAATAATTAATGGTATATGTAGTTATTTAGTACACATAACACTTAAAAATAGTGTTGTGAAGAATGGCGGTGTGTTTACTCAATATTGAAAGTATTGGGGCCGTTGTATTTTTCCGCCGTGTACTAATGCAACGATATTTATAAAATCGATACTAACACGAACAGTGTTAATGGTGCAATTATGAGCAAGTATGAGCCCAGATCAGTATTTTACAAAAACTACAATTTTGACGTCATGATATACCAAATTTTAGTGCATTACATACATATTACATTGGTCTAGAATGATACTAGTAAGAATCACGTTGATATTAGTCAACAGTGTGAAGACATTCCTGTAGTACTGTAAACACTGCATGCGTACAATTATAATTTAACAACCGTAAATAGAGAAAAAAAAGAAGAAAAAAAATTTGTTGAATCTCCCCCAAATTGATACCTAAGTATTTTCAGATATTAAAAGATATTATATATGCTCCATAAATTGTCTTATAATTTACAGTGATACTGTATTTTTCAAAAATATTTAACAATATAGTCATACGTCAAAAATAAAGAAAGTTACACTTTTGAGTGCTGTATAAAATAATACAAACTTGACTCCAATTTGATCACAGAAAAGTCTTATTATAGCGCCAATCTTAGGTCCCGTCGCTCGCCATGCATCGGTCAGCCTTGCGATTATTTTTTTTCGTGGAGATTTAAAATTTAAAAGGCATCAACTTGAATACACGAATGCTAGCATTTAAACTCATTTGCATAGCAATAACAGGAAAGGCGATACTCAAGTAAGCCGAGTTGTTTACTTTTGTTTGGCGTTGCCCATTAGCGCGTGTGATCAACTGTAGATAGACCAATCAACCGGACTATTAATACCGTGTAACTGAACTTGTCCGAGCAAGATTTTTTTTCATTATGACAGTATCTAACAGAATTTCAAATTAGGGCGTCATAAAAAAACATAATGTAAATCGCATCCAGATCTGAGTGTTGGTATTGATAACAAACAAAATAAATATTTTGCCAAACCGGGTTTCGAATTGGAAAATGGAAACGCCGGATGAAATCAAAACAATTAGAACAGTGTGAATCTGACCGAATTCACAGAACCATCAAATAATGTCGCCCGCGATAAACACGTTGCATCAGTATCCAATCAACGGCCCCGTTACGAAAAGAACACGTCTGAACCTTGCCCCTGACGACGCCTGGGTGACATTGGCCAATCAGCTACAGGTTCTCTATTTATATCAGTTTACATGTTGCTACCGTCTTCGATTGTGTATATTTGGCATGTGTTCTACGGGCTGACAGCATTACTGCCTGGATTTTCATACGCTACACACCTTCCCAGGAAGATTTTAACATCACAGCTGTGACGTCGCAGGAAAAACAGGTCCTCAATAATCCAAAAACACCGAGAACGCATCTGTCCGGATTTTTTTATTTTATTTTGTGGAAATTTTTTTTATAACTCGCGGTTTTCGTTCGCTCAAGAGGTCACCGTTCATTGATAACCAGATGATTAGCTGCTCGTTTCACTGCCAAATCTAACCACTGTTCTTCTCAAAGTGACATGCTCAAATATTGAGCAGCTGCAACCTCAAATCCACTAGAACAACCACCGTCCAAGTAAGTAGTTCACTGTAATGCTAGATTGTATAAACATGAAATATTTTCCGTGGGCGGGGATTGTATAGCAAGCGTGAGTCGGCACGTTCAGCGCGTTCTACAGATGTTGTCGATGGAAGCCAAGCAAAATGTGCTTAACCTGCCAAGAAATATTTTTGATTATTTATATTAATGAAACTCTTCCAATACTAATGTCACGTTTTTTCGTTTTTTCAACGTTTGTAGTTTTTGTAGGGAGACACTCGAGTGTAGCGGCAGACATTCCTGCTGTAGCCTGTAGTGCTGCTCCGCCTATGTAATTTGCATATTGTGTTGAAGTATAAGCGTAATATATACCTGCCGAGATAGGCTACGTGCTCACTTAATATATGTATTCCAGACCCATTATTAGGTTAAATATCGACAATTTCTTTTCTATTCTCCAGATATATTTCACATATTATTTTATGGCGGCTGTTTCCACTCTCAGAATGCCAATTTTAAACACGAAGGAAATGGCAGCCAAGTTCAAACAGAATTGGTTGGCAAAGAATCCAGCAGATCCGTCCGAGCTACTTAATGGTGCTCCCAACCTCGACGACAGTTTAACCAGCTTAAATTGGTTACAGAATTTGAGTATTATGAAATTGCAACCAACCCCTCCAAGCAGCCC